GATGCAATGACGTCACATTTATGGCTTCCTTGTCTGGCCTGCACTGCAATCTCAAAGGTACTCGTTTCAAGGCCACCAGCAGCTCCATAGGAGAAGGAGTGGCAATTTTCTCCTGTGCAATTACCTGCCTCTGAAAACCTGCTAGAAGGTCAGCTGTGGGTCGGTTTCGACTCAGTTGTATTCAACAACACCATCGGGGCATGCCTTGGCACTGGAGTTTGAGCCAATGAGATGTCTTCGTGGAGAGTTCAGAATTTACTGGATGACTCTTACTCCGATTCACTCTTCTCTGACATCACTCATGTGCCTAAAACAGTTATTCCACACACGTCAGTATCTGCTTCCTGGTTCTCATGGCTCATTTTTTCTACCAGGCATGAATTTCTGTCTCCCCTAGCTTGTTGGTTCTTTGTCTTATTCATCTATGCTTCAGGCAGGAAAAGACCAATAGTTGTTTCTTGGATGGGTCCTTCAGAAAATTTCAGGAGCACAGGTGCTGTTCACAAGACAAAGAAAGGTCAACGGATTTGGATGTACCCTGAGAGCTACAGGGAAGTCAAGTCAAGGTTGCAATGATTTGGAAGCAGATTGAAAGGCAGTTCATTGCGTGAACAGTCAAGCATGTAACCATCTATACCTTCCAGGCACTCCCTATACGCTACGTTGCTGTTAGGTCCTGTTGAGTCAGCTCAACTCACAGACCATCTATTTACAACAGAATGAAATTGTGCCTGGTTCATATCCTTTCCTGCGTGTAAGCCCATTTATATGGTCATTGTGTCAGTCTAGCTCGTTGAGGATCTTCCTCTTTTTCAATGACCATCTGTTTTATCAAGTATGCTGTGTCTCTCCAGGAACTGAACTCTGCCTGATAATATGCCCAAAGTATATGAGGGAGGATAGAAGGAGAATTGATGCCTTTGAGCTGTGGTGCTGGAGAAGAGTATTGAGAATACCATGGACGGCTAGGAAAACAAACAGATTTGTCCTGGAAAGGGTTAAACCGGGTGGCTCCTTGGAGACAAGGATTCTGAGGCTCTGTCTAACATACTTTGGACATATTGTGAGGAGAGACCGGTCCTTGGAGAAGGACATCATGCTTGGGAGGGTGGAGGGACGGCGCAGGAGAGGAAGGCCCTCTATGAGGTGGATTGATTCAGTGACTGGGATAATCAGGATGGAAGTGTCAGAGACAGTGCGATTGGCACAGGACAGAGCGGAGTTTAGGGCTGTTGAACATAGGGTCGCTATGAGTCGCAAGCAACTCGATGGCACATAACAACAACAACAACAACATATGAGGGAGGCTCTGTTGGCCTAGTGGTAAGAATCTGCACTGCAATCCCGGAGATCATTGTTCGGATCCACCAGTTACTCTGTGGGAGAAAGATGTGCAATCTCCTTCCATGAGTTTATTGTTGTTGTTTTTAGGTGCCGTCAAGTCAATAACTAATTACTAATAGCAACCCCATGAACAAAAGATCTGGACCCTGTTCTACCCTGAACCATCCTCACATTTCCTGACACCCAATGCGGCAGTCACTGTGTCAATCCACCTGGTTGAGATTCTTCCTCCCCTTCACCGATCCTCCACACTTCCCAACATCATGTCCTGCTCCAAAGAATAACCCCTCTTAGCCCAAAGTATGTGAGGGAAGCCTCATCATTCTTGCCTCCAAAGAGCACTCCGGCTGCACCTTCTCCAAGATACATGTGTTCTCTTGGCCATCCATGGAATGTTCAGTGCTCTTCTCCAACACCACAGCTCAAAAGTGTCAATTCTTTTCCTGTCATCCTTATTCATTGTCCAGCTCTCAAATGCATAGCAAGTGATCAGAAACATTATGGCCTGAGTTAGAAGCACCTTAGTCCTCAAACTGACATCATTACTCCTCAATAATTTGGAGACTTGCCTAACTGCAGATGTTCCCAGAGTAATAAGTCTCCTTATTTCCTGACTGCTAGTACTAAGGGTGTTACTTGTGGATCCGAGCAAGCTGAGGCTGTTGACAATTTCCTTCTCCTCTCCATCCATCATGATTCTGCCTATCATTCCAGTGGTAAGAATCTTTGTTTTCCTGATATTGAGAAGTAATCCATACTGAAGGCTGCATTCCTTCATCTTCTGCAACAAAGTGTTTCAAATCCTCCTCACCTTCAGCAAACGAGGTTGTATCACCTGCGTAACGCAGGTTATTGAGGAGTCTCTCCAATCCTGACGCCATAATCTTCCTCATGGAATCCAGCTTCTTAATAATTTGCTCAGCATACAGATTGAATAGGTGTGGAGAGAGAATACAACCCTGGTGCACACCCTTCTCAGGAGATTTACTGCCTCTGAAAACCCGCAGGAGGGTCAGCCACATGCTATGGGTCAGTTTTGACAGTTTTGACTTGACAGTACTCAATAACATGAACACATGAGGCATAGTTTTACCATCCTTGTTTCTAAGGAGCACTCTGGCTGCTACAGTCCTTTCAAAACGGACTGGAAGGTTAAGAAAACCATCTGGGAACACACCGCTGTTGATGTGAACAGGTCCCAGATATCTTAGAGAAGCTTTAAGCATTTCAGACTCGTAAAGCTACAAGCTTGTAAGAAAAATGATTTGAAAGTTTAATACTTTAACTTTTCTTTAGTCTTATTTTGTTTTTATTTAACTTTTAATAACAACTTCAAATTGAGGCAGGAGCAACTTTTGCCATCTCTGGGGGCAGGAGTGTAAGTGTGTGTGTGTGTGTGTGTGTGTGTGTGTGTGTGTGTGTGTGTGTAAACCACTCTGCTTATTAATGTTTCTTTGTAATCTCTGAGTGAGTAACTCTTAAAACGGCATCAAGATTGCCAGACCTCATGATTTTAAAATGGAATATGCTTGTCTTGGAAGCTCATGAGATAGTATTTGGCAGCAGGGTGGGGGCACCCAGGATGCGTGTATTGGGCAAAAAGCTCGGAATACAAAACATAACCATAAATTGTACAGAGTGAGAGTTTGACTTTGTTCACCAACAACAATGGGAAGGGGGAACCCCATGCAGCTGTGACTGTCTCAGGAGAGACACATGATTTGTTTTCTGCTTTCAGATTTCTTCATTGACTGTCCTCCTGCTTGATGAATGAGAACATGATGAACTTACAGGAAACAACAACACCTCTGCCTCCCATCCCAGGCTGAGCCTCAAGTGGATGACCTGTAAGTAGCACGAAGGGCCTGCTGTTCTAATAGTAAGAGTCAGTATTTATCCAGCATGCCGTCAACATAGTGATGGGAGTATTGTCCTTTCCTTCCACAACTGAGGAAACAGAGGCACTGAGGCAGAGAGGAATAATTGTTTCCTCAAGATCATAGTCAGGTTCATCTAACACTGCCTTTGTCTAGCCATAGACTCTTACCTCATGTCCCAGTGGTGACTTTCCTGGCTGGCCCGTGTGGCTTTCTCTAACTTGACCAATGGCTGTAGTGGGAGGTGAAGATGCCTGAGAAGGACTTGGGCTTTTCTTAGTGAAGTTCCTGATCTCTTGGCCAGAGGAAGGTTGAGAATAATGGGAATAACATCCCACCCACTCCCCAGAGTTTTCACCCACTGTCACGGGCCTAGAGGCTTGCAGCTCAGTCCAGCTCTTCAATGGGTCCTCTGGCCAGCTCTCCTGTGCTCTTCTGTTTTCCTGACTGGCTTGTCCTCACCTGTCCCTGAAACCCGAGGTGTCTATACTGGTCCCTGCGCCATGGTGATTTAGTCCATACCCAAAAATGGCCCTGCTAGAACCCCACAAGGCTCGAGGCCTTCAGGGTCCCCCAGTTCTAATGGTGGGACCAAGGAAGGGCCAAGGTGGCCTTGTGGCTGGGATCACCCGCCATCTGAGCAGCGCTATTCTGGTGTCCTCAGTGATGGGGAGTGGAGGGGAGCTAACTGTAGGGTCCAACACCTGGCTGGGACGCTTTCCAGCACTCTGTGGGCCTGAGATAAATGACAGTGGGAGGAAGGAAGCAAGGGAAGGAGGGAGGGAGGGCCTGAGGCAACAGGGAGCATGGACCACAAGCCGTCCACTCATTCCTGTTTTCCTGCTTCCCACCTGCCTCTCCTGGCCCTAAAGTCTGCTGGTCAGTGCCTGCGCTGGCCCCTCTCCACTCTGCCTCCCGCCTTAGTCCATATGGAGCAGTAGTACCTCCAGGCTGGACCCCTCCAAAGTTCTGGATCTACAAGAAAAGAGGAAAGGCAAAATTCTCTCTGTCTTCCTCTCTCCCTGAGTTGCCAAGGCTCACCTTACGGACAGGATCAGAGTGCGTGTGTGTTCGCTTCAATCTGAGAGCAAGATCAGGGTACCAGCGGAGGGGTCAGGGTCATCATTCAGGCTAGGGTAGAGGTCAAGGTCAGAGAATGACCCTCTGGCCCCTCCTTCAAAAGCTAGCTTGTTCCAGTGGATAGAAGACGGCGCGCGGCTCTTTCAGGAACCTTCCATAGCACCCAGCGCTGATGACTCTGAACGTATCATCCGCTGCTCACCGACGTCCCTCCCACCCCCAGCTCTGGTGTCCAGGGCGACCAGAGCCTCCTCTAGGCAGGAAGCCAGGCCAGACAGCCCAGGACATCCCTGAGCGCCTGTCACCATGGCAACCTGCCCGCCCGGCCCCCCTCAACCTGTGTCCAGCAGGTTCTTAAAATTCAGAACGTCAGGGATCAGCAGACTCCGGCCCCGCCCCTTCATCCCAGATGGAGAAACTGAGGTCCCATCGGGGAAGGAGGGGGTGCCAGCTGTTCCAGGACCCAGAGCCTGGCCTGCTCTCCCTCTCCCTCCCTCCCGGGGCGGCCACGGTGGAGGGGTGAGCGAGTGGAGGTGCGCGCACCGGATGGAGGCCCTCCTATCCTCGCAGGAACCAGACACCGACGATGAATAAATGATGTGCTCTCGCCGCCCGCGGCCGGAGCTCGCGGCTGCCCTGGGGGCGTCTCCAGGCCCAGCCCTGCCCGCCGTCCATCACCCGGGCCGCGCGAAGATGACCATGGCGGGGCGGTGGCCGCGGGGCGCCGGACCCCTCTGGGCGCTGGGGGGCGCCGCGCTGGGGGTCTGCCTTGCGGGCGTCTCCGGGCAGCTGGTGGAGGTGAGATGGGGCGGCGCAGTGGGGTGGGAGGGGAGGGGAGGGAGGGCCTCTCGGACTCTCTGCCTTTTCTCTCGTCCTGGACACCAGCCTCGTGGAGACACAGCCCTGCCCAGCGCTCCCAGGCTCCCAGGGAAGACGCAGCCCTTGACCTTTAGCGCCCTTGATGTGATGGAAGTGGGAGGGTCATGGCCGTTATTTACAGAAAACTTAATCTATTGGAGAGGGGGGAGCTGTGGTGAGCTGCGTGCTGACCCAAAGGCCGTGCATCTCAGGCAGTTCAAATCCACCTGCTTGCTCTGCAGAGGAAGAAGGGGAAGTCTCCTCCCATTGCGTTTTACAGCCTGGGGGGCTCCATGCAGGGTCTCTGCGAGGCGGAACCCACAGGACAGCAGCGTGTGTGCGAGGGAATCTGATGGAGGGAGCCCTGCCTCTATCCTCCAACCCTTCTTCTGATGAAGGAACAGAGACTCTGGTTCAAAGACAGCCTTGGGCTCTGGAGATCCTCCAGGGTCCCCTGTGTGAAAGAGCAGGCGCCTTGGGAAGGAGGGGAGGGCATTCCAAGCAAAAGGGTGGGGCTGGGGACACCCTTGACCAGGCAGCTATGTGTGGTGCTAAAGTCAGGGAGGAATAAACCAGGAGGTAAAGGGGCAGACTGGCACAACCCAGGGAGTAGGGGGTCTCTGTCCTCGGTACTGGGAGCAGTAAAGGTTTCTGAGTATATATTGGACCAGGACACAAAGCGGGGAGGACTGGGAGGAGCTTCTAAGGCAGCCCTAGAAATGGAGAGAAGAGTGATTGGGCGGGAGGTGGGCGGGAGAGTGGGGCCGAGCTGGATGGTGGAGAGCTATTTACAGCACCCACAGTCCCCTCTACACCCTACATCCAAGTGAATGAACCTGGAACAGGAGTTGTAGGGAGGAGTATCAGACTAGAGTCAGAATCCCAGAGGATGAAGTCAGAGCTAGGACGGGAGAGGAGAAGGTGGAGTGTGGGCTTGCTCCAAGGAGCAGAGTGGAGGGAGCAGGCAGTGCAGAGAGACAGAAAGGCATGCGACAGAGAGGGCACCCAGTGGAGCCTGCGGGGGCAGGTGCTGGGGACAGACCAGGCCAGCGAGGACAGAGCCTTACTCCGGGGGCATCTAAGGTCACACAGCTCTGAAGCAGAGGGTCTGAGGAGGACCTCAGTACAGAGCTCTATACCCAGCTGCCGGCCAGGAAGGCGTGGCCAGAAGGCTGGGCTGGAGTCAGGTGTCAGCTCCACTGTCCCTGTAAGGGGAGCCTGGCTGGCTTGAATGCCAAGGAGTGTGCTTGGTCCCTTCTCTAGCTGCCCTGAGACCTCAGTGCAGAAACTGAGCTGGCCTGAGAACAGTCAGAAGACTGGGGTGGGGGCCAAGTCAGTTCTGAACCAAGGGCTCTCCCCTCCCCCAAAACAGGTCTCTCCCCAACTCCTCAGGGGAAATTGCATTTGGCATCTATCTGCCTACTGTCTGACTGTCTGTCTACAGTCAGGCCCAGCCCTGCAGATCCTGGGGAGCACCCAGGAGAAGAGAGAGCAAAGCTTGGGTCTATGACACCTCCCTCTCTCATCTGGCTGTGAGCCTCTGATGGACCTAGGGCCACCAAGCTTCAGGTTCTCGACTCATAGCAGTCCCTGTCACGATGAGATGCGTGGCTATTTCCTTGTCAGTACGACCTGAGAGACTAAGCCCAGCTCCACCGAGAAGAAAACTAGGACAAGAATATGCTAAAAGTGCGCTCAGTCGTGAAGGCTCAGGATCCCAGAACTTTGTTTTGGTCCTTGTCGTTGTCTTACAGTCACGTAACCCAACCAAGCTGACCTGCTGGGCTTTAAAATCAGGGTTGGATCCTAGCTCCAAATGTGTTCGGTCTCCAAACTGTGCTTCACACACATGTAGCTGGGATACACAAACAGGTGTCCAACCTCAAACGTGGGCCTGAAACACACGTGCCTCGGGCCACACTTAGGTTTCTTGATCCTACACGTCATTGTCTGACACATGGGTCCAGGCCTCTGGGATGATGAGGAGAGAGGATATTTTCCTATTAATGTTACTCCTTTGGCTAGAGAGAGCTCACCAAAGAGCTTCTGAAACCATCCCATCCAAGCTTTAGTTGAAGAAAAGAAGACTCCTTTCACCTTATATTTCTCATCTAGATAAGAGTCAGAGAATCCTGTATCAACCCCAGAGGCACAGATCTTCTGGGTTACCTGGGACAGGTCTCTGACGTGACCAGAGCATCTCTAGTCCATGCTGAGGGTGGTGTTGGTTAGATGAGAAAGCGTCTGGCATTTCTTTGGGAGGCACCCAATGCCTGATTTCAGACCAGGAAAATGGATGGTTGAACCATCAGCTTCCTGTCTTCTCGGAGTCAGAAGGGTCTCCTCGTGTTTATATTTGTCTAGTCACCTTGGTACCACATATTACAGATGCCTCAGGGTCATCTAAGCACTGACCCCCACACATACCTTTCAACCAAATTTGGTGCCCAGGATAGATGATCCCTCTCAACTCCACAGGTCAGGGACAAGTCTTGCTTAGACCTTGGGCCAGATCTGTGTCTCCCCAGACCCTCAGAGGCCACTCAGAATTCATGCAGGGGGCTGTGTCCTTTCATATCCCTTCAGCAGAACCTTGTTCCTTCCAAAACCCAGGACAGGGCCACGTGTCTTCAGAACACCATGGTAGGCTGTGCCCACTCAGATCCTAAGTAAGGGTCCTCTATGAGCACACTCAGCCCTTTAGGGAGGAAAGTGTCCCCTCAGGCCCCTGGACAAGGTCATGTTCCCCTATGAGTACACCCAGACCCTAGACAGGACTATTCTCCCTCAGCCCCTAGTCCTCCCATAAGATATGGTTGAGTCTCCTCACAGCCGCTAGGCAGTTTGTATTCTCTGATCTCCAGGACAGGGCCCTGTCTCCTCAGACCTCAAGCACTGTGCCCTTTAACCTCCACGGCTGTGTCTCCTCCAGCCCCACAGCTTGACTCTGAGCTCTGTGGACACACCCAAGATTGAACCAAGCCCTTTTAGACACCCAAGTAGAACTCATCGCTCCCTACCAAACCCCCAGACAAGATCTTGCCACCTCAGACCATCAAGATACAGCTGTGTCCCCTCAGTACCCCCAGAGCAAGGCCAAATTCCCTCCAACTCCCTAATTCCTTAGGCCGCCTGACTCAGGCTAGCTCCAGCCTCACTTACACAGTTTAGCCTCCAGGTGTCGCTGCCGCACCGAGGATCAGTTTTATGACTTCAGTCTCATCCTGCACTGATTTTATGGGTCGTGTAAATACTTAAGAGTATTGCTGCTGGCTCAGCAGGCACCTCTTTGGACGTTCAAATCCAATTCTGGAAGTTCAAATCCACCAGCCGTTCTGAAAGAGAAAAATGGGCAATCTCCTGTTAAATGATTTACAGTCTCGAAAACTCAATGGAAGATTCCCATTGAGTCAGTTCCCACCTGACAGCAAGGAGAATAAGGACTCCGGCTTAGCTTTCAAGGCCAGAAAGTGCCTTGTGGGAGAATACGGACCTGAAGGACCTGATGAGAGTCCTTACCAGACAGCAGAACTTCACGACTTTGACCCCCAGGAGGAACCGGGAGGTCATCCAGTACTCCACACCCTGTACTGAGTAGACTGGAGGGCAAAGCCAGTCTCCACCATGGTGCAGTCCTTCTCTTGCCTCTGGCCTTGGTCCTGAGACCCTCACTGCTGTGTGCTGGGGCCCAGGACTACAGCGGAGGAACTCTAACCCGCTAGCAGGCTGGGACATACTGACCAGGGTTTGCCCTTCCCGCCCTTGAGTTCCCTACACATCATCAACCATCCTCTCTCTCCACGTCCTGGGCTCGGAGACTCTGGGGCTGTGTTCAGTTCTCCTGTTTTAAATCTGGATCATTCCAGGGTCTGGGGTTTGGGGTGTGAATGTCGGTGGCTCTTGATCCCAGGGGTGCTTGGGCTGAGCCCCTCTCCATGCTGGTCCCTGCCTCACTCATCACCTCTCTCCCCACCCACAGCCCAGCACAGCCCCGCCCAAGCCCAAGCCACCCCCACTGACCAAGGAGACCGTGGTGTTCTGGGACATGCGCCTATGGCACGTGGTGGGCATCTTCTCGCTCTTCGTGCTGTCCATCAGTGAGTAGCCATGCGGTGCACCCCTCCTCCCAGTGAGGCCCAGCACCCCGCATCCCCCCTCCGCCCCAGCCCTACCCCCTCGGGCTCAGAGCAGCAATTCCGGGCAGTGCAAGCAGGCCAGGCGCCCGCAGGAGGCCCTGCCGTGGTTTCTGGCACCTCCTGGTTCACACAAAGTCCCCATGGAGGGCCGATAGGTGGGTAGTGACCCGAAATATTCTGCTGGACCGGGGAGGCAGCCACACAGCAATTATGGTAATTACAGGGGACTCCAGCGGAATGACAGGACGTGTCATTTTTCCCTATCGCTGGCCTCCTGATGCTTTTCTTGCAGTCTGGCCCGCTTAAAGGACCCACACCCAAGGGCCCAGGCGAGGCCACCCGGGGCTGCAGCGCAGCCCTGAGCTCCCCAGACGCCTCACAGATGTGACTGTCAGGCTTAGAACACTGCTTGTCAGATGCCATTTCTCGGGGGTGACTCACACCCATCTCAATTAAAAGCAGGAGACCTGCTCCTCTCCCGGGGACAGGGTGGGAGGCTGCAGGGTGCAAGGCTGCCGCAGAGGTGGGATTGCCATGCTGGGGTGGGAGTCTGGAGATGGGGCAGGGGTGGAGGAGGCTGCCACGGCACAGAGTGGCGTCTAATGGGGGTCCCACAGGGTGAAAGAGGGCCAGCCCACTTCTCCACAAAGGCTTCACAAAGTAGGGGCCCTCTGAGCTGAGGTTAGAACACAGCAAAGACACTGTCTAAGGAACGTGATTCCCCTCATGGGACACTTACTTGTTGAGCATTTCCGGGGCGGGGGTCCTGGAACTATCCTGAGATGAGGTCCCTGGGAGGAGGGGCTGGGCAAGCCACAGGAGACCTGTCCAAGTTGAGGGGTGGGGTGAAGGCTCTAAGGGACATGGGGGACATCTGACATGCATGTGCTTCCTCTGGCACCAGAAATGACCTCCCTGAGAGAAGTCCCCTGCTGGCCCCACTCGTTGCTTTCTTCCCAGCTGGGGTGCCGGCAGGGAACTAAGCAAAAGCTGTGTTTTGCTCACAGTCAAGGCTAAGAACCAGTCAAGTTCAGGTTCTTGTGTGGCCATAGCTTGGCCCACATGTCCTGAGAGGGGGACAGCCCTCAGCACCAAGAAGCTGGGCTGGGAGAAGCATATGCTCTGAGGGAGTCAGAGGAACAGGGTGAGAGACCCCCCATGAAAGACACTTGGACATCAACCACTAACAACCCTCAACCCCATTTCCTAGAAAGGAAGACGACATCTCCCAGCTCCTTGGCAGTAGGATAGCACTTGTTACTGTTCACCGCACAGCTCTGGGGGTTCACTGACCAAGCCCCATCTCCTGGGAGGGGGCAGCAGATCTTTCTTGCTGCCCACCAGCTGGGGTCTGGGTGTTAGGGATCTTAGTGGGCACACCTCAGAACCTCATGGATGGGGTCTCTCACACATCAAGCTCCTGCCTGGGAGACTTTGCCTCTTCACATCTTTTGGAAGTTGGAAGGGATAGACCAGAAATAAGGTGGTGTCTGAGCCCTGGGCTGGCTGTCACCTCCAGGTGCCTGCTGAACTCACCTTGAAGGCCTGGCATCTCTGGGCACCAGGAGGGGTGTGTGAGGAGAGCCTAGATGGGCACGTGCTTGAGGAGGTTCCTGGTGAGGTGGTTGGGAGAGGGAACCCCACAAACAAGATCAAGTGGGGAGCCCACCTCATTGACACAGGAGTCTAGAGAAGACACAACCTAACTCCTCAGGTAAGGGAGGCCTGCTGTCTCCACGAGACAGTGATGAGACCCTGTCCGATCCCCATCCCTGGATGTGCCTGGATGCGACTAGCACAGGAGTCCAGTCCTGTTCTCAGCCACCAACACTACGACCATCCCAGCCAGCCAGCCCCTCACTTAGTTATTTTCTTCCATCCTGTCCTTTCAGCCTGAGGGAGACCCAATCAGATACACTCTGGCTGAAGGAACATTGTCTTGGTCCAAGGCAGAGGGCTGTACGAGATGACCCCAGAGGTGCTCCAGCCAGGCTGCCCAGGTCTGAACCATCCTCCCTAAAATAATCCTGGCTCATCCTGCCTGGGCCCTTCTGCCCCCAGGAGCCTGCCAGGAAGTTATGTCCGGTCATCTGATCTATAATAGTAACCGGTTCCATCCCCTCCCCTGGGGCCGGGGCCAAGGTGGTCAGACTGTGGGGGCCTTAGAAAAATAAACTTGGTCCAGCCAGGCCCTGGCAGCCTTGCTCTGCTCTGGCCATCAACCGACAGGCCAGCTCCATGCCCTGGCACAACTGGCGTGGGCGCAGCTGTCCTCGGTCGGAAAAATCACTCCTAGAATAACTCCCTCCGAGGTGAACGCCCAGGGCAGGGCCAGTGTCCTCTCCCCAGCTCGATGCCCAGCCAGAAGGCCAGGCTCGGCCCCTGGGAGGCCAAGGAGAATGCAACTTCGTGCTTTGGTGTGTGAGGCAGCTGGGACCCAGCTCTCGGGAGCCCAGGAGAGGGAAAATGAGGCTTCACAGGGAGCCTGGGGCCCGGATTCCAATCACAGGGGCCGCTAGAGGACTGGAGCCTGAATTAAGATGCAGTTCCACACCTCACCCTCCAGGCCTTCTTCACTTAGCCTGAAACTCCAGTCAGAAAGACCCTCAAAAACGGGTCTGACTACCTCATTTTTAAAAGCAAAATTAAATACGAGGCCCCTTGTCCCCAAATAAATGAAGAATTGTAAGCTAGCAGCAGCCAAGCGTAAAATCAAACACAGGCCTCTCTAAATGCCCTGCTCTAAGTGGCTGAGGCCAGTCCCGCTCAGGACAGACATCTTGGACACTGTGCCTCTGATGGAGCATCCTGGCTGAGACACAGAGGGGGACAGAGGTGGACGTGCATCTCAAGCGTCGGTCCTGGGGTGTCTGAGGCCCAGCCCGCTCTGCCTTCTGCCCTCCAGTTATCACTCTGTGCTGTGTCTTCAACTGCCGCGTGCCGCGGACCCGGAAGGAGATCGAAGCCCGGTACCTGCAGAGGAAAGCTGCCAAGATGTACACGGACAAGCTGGAGACCGTGCCACCCCTCAACGAGCTCACGGAGATTCCTGGAGGTGAGTGCTGCCCCCTGTTCCAGCTGCCATCTCCCCCTGCAGGGCCAGGTGTCACCACCCTGCCAGACCCTCGGTCTCAAGCTGCCAGGCTCCTTCCTCCCACTGCCATAGGTTAGGGTGAGCCTGGCCCTGTCCTGGAGAGAGCACAGGTGGGTCAGAGCGAGGCAGGTAAAACAAGGAGCCTGATCACCAGATAGTGCAGGGTCGGGCAGATGCAAAGGCCATAATGCGGGGGAGGGGGACAGTTCTAGTGCCTTTTCTTCCTGGGACCCCCAGGACCTCAGACTCTTGTCTCCCTCCCCCATTGGCCTCTTTTCCTCCCTGCAGAGGATAAGAAGAAGAAGAAGAAGGACAGCGTGGACACAGTGGCCATCAAGGTAGAGGAAGATGAGAAGAATGAGACCAAGAAGAAGAAGGGGGAGAAATGAGGAGGGCTTCCCGGAGGCGGTGACTGGGGCTGAGAGGCCCTCAGGCTCACACCCTGGTTGGGGTCTAGGCATCTTGGACTCCGAGCTCAGATGTGGCACACAGAGGTTGCAGAACATCTACTCCCTGCTCCAAGGGGAAACTGAGGCCCACGGCCAAGTTTTCACAGCTTGTCAGGCTGCACCAGATGTCCATCTTCCCAGCCTGGACCCTGCTCCCTGTACCCCATCCCCATGGACTCACTTCCCTCAGTGACATTGTGGAGGGTCACAGTCTCCCTGCAGATTCAGGGTGCCCTCACACTGTACTCCTCAACCCAATATGCCTCTCTCCCACTCCTTCAAGGCACAACCACATGGTAAAGGAGCAAGTCTCCCTGGAAGGGGTTGACGGGCTGGCATGGGGCAGAAAGAGGCCACGCTCAGAGTAGCCAAGAGGAAGGAGAAATGTCGCTGAAGGAAGTCAGTGCTGTTCTGAGACAGGCTGCAGCCCTGTGGTGAGGGTCTGACCCAGGGGAGTGAGAGATTTGACCCTGGAGGAGGAGACCCCCATCCAGCAGATGCCATGCTCAAAGCAGCAGGGTCCACTTTCAGTGTCCATGCTGTGAGCTGAGGCTGCTGGGAGGCCCGTCCTGGAGCTCAGGACTCAGGGCTGGAGGCTGCAGAGTATGTCAGCGGGGGAGGGAGGCCAGTGAAGGAAGCTGGGTCCTGTCCTTAAGAATCAGAAGCCAAGGTGGCCTCAGCCTGCTCTGGGTGACCCATTGTATGTCCAGCTGCACTGGGTGCTTTCAGGACCCCAGTTTGGTCACCATTGGGGGGTGTGGCATGAGACTGACATGTCAACCTGCTGAAAGCAACAGCACAGGGCTTCCACGTCTACCCCTTTCAACTCAAGAGGCTTAAAAGAAGCTGCTCTGATCTCACGGCAAAAGCTCAACCTACCGCGTGATGTTTGAATCCTTGGGGAAGAGGTAATGCACACAGCCCCAGCCTCACCCCTCATAGCATTGAGCATCAGGGTGAGGTTCTCAGATCAGAGCCCAGAGCTCAGGGAGACGTCAGAGAAGGTTCCAAGCCGGGGGGGGGGGGCATCTGGGAACATTCTCACTGCCCCTCTGAGGCTGCAGAGACTTGTAAATAAAGCCAAGTGCCTTCTGAGACCCATGCGGGGAACGCTATCTCCTGATGTGACCCTGCCGGAAACGTTCCTAAAGCACTTTAGTGGAAGGGACACAGCCATCCATGACAGGTGGCTCAGGCCAGGCTAAGATGCCCTCCCTTAATTGTCCTTGCGGCCTGAGTTAGGATGAGACGGAGGGAAAGCAGGTGTGTAAGGCCGAGGGGCAGCTGCAGCCACCTGGCCAATGCCCGGAGGCAGGGCATCAGGACTGGGGGAGAAGGTGCATGCGTTCCTGGGTGCGGAACTGGTGCGAGCCTGCTCTCAAGTCGCCTCTACTCCATCTCACAGCTCTGGTGAGGCTCTCAGATGCTACATTGAAGGTTGGTGGTTCAAACCCGCCCCATGGTGCCACAGGAGAGGGCGTGGCAGTCTCTCTCCATGAAGGTGACAGCCCCGAATACCCACTGGAGCTGTTCTGCTCTGGAGCACAAGAGGTCGCCTTGAGTCAGAAACACAGCGGTCTGGATCCAGATCAAGCCAAGTGATCCAGGCTGACGGATCGATGGGGAAGCACGGGGGTTCTGGGACCAGAAGGCCCTGAGGGAATCCAAGGACACAGTACCTGGTGGGAATGGCAGATTGATCTCAGTTGGAGGGGCTCAGCCTGGGTCTCACATGCAAAGGTCATCCGACCAACAGAGGGCAGCAGAAACCCAGACTGCCACATAGGGGGCAGGAGTGGAGCTGCAAGAGGTTAAGACCTGCCTGGGCTGCATCCACGCTGGCTGCTGCTTCTCTGACTTCTGACCCGGGGATGCGGATAGGTGACATCTGACCCCAGCCGCCACCTGCCCCAGTCTCCAGGCGGAGAGCAGGGCTGGAGAGGCAAAGCTGTGATTTTCTGTGGTCTTTCCGAGGCAGTGGCCACTGACTAGGAGGTGGGACAAAGCTGAGAAGAGCCTGACTCCCCCGTTACAATGTGCCAGAAACCATGGCCAGGTCCATACGGAGCAGTGGCCCTCAACCCAGCACGTTCTGGGCCTTCTCCTCTCATGAGACCCCAGTGCCACCTCTTCATGCTCCCTGCAGCTTCTGGGGAGACACCTGAACCTCTAGAGGGATGCAGACCCCGAGAGGTCGTACACTTCAGTATAAATCACCTGGATGCCCTCATCCCACCTGCCTTGGGATCCCCTTTGCCCTTCTCCCACAAGGGCAGGTCCAGAAAGAGATGCCTGAGTCTCAGGAACAAAAAAGGCATGAGAAGTGTTTAATTGAGCACCAAGTCCCTGCCTGCCTTATGCGAGGGGCCCAGGATGGAGGAGATTACTCCCAGGCCAAGCACCCAGAGTGACCAGGAGGCTGAGGGGGAGAGTTAGGAACAAGGCCCTGGACGGGGCTGGCAGGGCCGGGGGTTGCCCGTTGATGCAGTCCATGATCCACTGTCGGTAGGAGGGGATATGAAGGTAGATAGGTGGGGCTTCATTCTTTTCGCAGCCGGGGCCCCAGCTCACTAAGCCCACCAGGTACCACGTCTTATCCACCAAGCAGGACATGGGCTCTCCTGACTCTTCCTGTGGAGGAGAGACAAAGAGGTGCAAGGAGATCAGGCGTGGCCCAAGGGACACCTGGCCCAGTGCAAGTATAAGCAAGGGCCTTAAGTCCTCCCTTCCAGTGTCCAGCTTAGGGGAACTGTACTCAGACCAGAGTTTGCTCAGAGAACTTTGTCCTGCATTCCTGATACAACAAGCTCTCAAATATGCACCTTCTGTCTCCCATGGCCCATCCCAAACTCACCCCCCACCTCTGTCTTCAGTCCCATGGCTCTCGTCCCTGATCCTCCCATGTCCCCCTTGCTCACAACCCCTCACAGTCCTCAGGCCCACCTCCCTGGCATCCCACCCCTCACTCCTCTACATCGTTCTAATAGACATGGGGAAGGTACCCACATAGCAGAAGCTGTTCCTGCTGGTGTCCTTGGCACAAAACATATAGGAGTTGATGACCTGGACCATGGAGGGGATTCTGGAGATGATGTGGTAGAATTGATCGCAATCCTCATTGTCCAGGATCATGACTTGCTTCTCCTGAATGGACTGGAACTGAGGCAATTTGCCTGTGGGACCAGGAATCTCATTCAGACCCAGCTGCCTGGCTGCTGCTGTCAGCTGCCAGGGGCTTGGTCTCCTCTCTCCCTCCGCTCTTCTCCACTCCCCCAGCCCCTGTGACTTGCTATCCAGTGGCCTTGGAGATTGATTGAATTGCTCAGCGGCAGCACGTCGGCCCTCAGTTCGGATGCCCCTGGAGCAGGCTGCCCGCCACCTGGCTTTGGTGGGACCTAATCTTGCTTCCAGCCCACAGGGCCTCCTCTCACAATCCTCTCCATCCTCAGCTAACATCTTTGTTCTTATCATCCTTTCTTCTGTCCTGAACGCCAAACCTCTCTCAGGTCCACATCCCTCCTTTTCTTCAAGCTCTTCCTAAAAGCCATCTCCTCCCCTGAGTTTACCCGGGTGGCCCTCCACGGCGCCCAGGCACTGCACACCACTGTTCCCACCCATGAGACTGTGTTCCAGGCCTGAACTCTTGGAGGACCAGAGATTCTCCGGCAAATCATTCTCTGGGCAGGGCACAGCAGGGATGACAAAAAGTGCCCCATTGCTTACCCAGATGGTGACACTGTGGGCTGGCTCTTTGAGGCAAGGAGGAGAACCTCCCTTGTGGGAAAGGGAACAGGGGCTCCCTGAAGGTGGTGTGTATCTCTGGGGCCTATCAGAAGAACACACTCTTGGATGGGAACGCACCTGCTCTTGGGATGACAAAGGTTTGAGGACTTACCATTAGACCTGGGACGTCCCCAGCCTGCCACAGTGCAAAAGGAGTTTTTCTTCAGTCTGAAGTCCAAACCAGGCAGACAGACGGGCCAGGCGTACTCACTGTACTTGATTGCCGCGTGAAGCTTGAGGAGGGCAATGTCGTTGTCCCGGCCGATCCATGACCAGTACCGCCGGAGCCGGAACCTCGGGTTTAGGAGTACCTGGGCCACTGACATGCTATAAACGTTTGGGTGCCAACTGCCCATGACCGTGCTCCCCACCAGCACAGAATAGATAAAGTTTTGCCTTGGGGGGGGGACCACAAGGAGAGTCGACAGTCAGATCCAGGCCCAGCCTTTGCTCCCGGCCCCCTTCCCCAATGCTGCCTTTTTAAAAAATTAATTTTAATGTAAGTTTACAGAGACCTAGGGTTTCCAGTCATTCATTGTTGTACTTTTCTCCCTGCCCACCCCCTCCCCCAAATGCTGTCTTTTGAGCACATCGCAGCAGGCCACCCCCAACCTCAGTGTCCTCACAGCAGACGCAAAGTCAGCCCAGACTTCACAACAATCCATAACGTTATGGAGGAGGAAACAGGCTCAGAGGAGCCCAGCGGTCCACTTAAGACAAGAAATGGTGGAACTGGGACAGACACCAGCATTCTTTGCTTCTAAACTCTAGCCTCTCCTGCACCCATATTCGCCCTGGCAGGGGATAGAAGCCAGGCTAAAGCTCTCCACTTCCTCTACCAGAATGCCCCTCTGGGGCTTTATGCTGGTCCTTAAGCCTGGAACATGCTTTGCTATATTGGTCAGCCCTCACAGACAACATCAGTGCTGCCCACAGGCCACTTCTCCGAGACAGAGCTTCAGTGCATTTACTCTTTCGCGGCCAAGCCAAAGTAAGTTACTTTGAGAGCTTCTGTCTTCTTATCGGCTCCACCAGTCTTAGAGGAAGAATTCATCCCCCTCTGCCCTCAGGCCCAGCCCAGAGACTAGCTCAAAAGAGCGCCCAGGACTGTTGGTTAAAACAAGGGAGTGACGTCTGTGCCGTAAAAGAACTAGGGCCTCTTTCTGCGGGTGGAGGCCTGGAGAAACGGCTTCTGAGCCTTCATGTCCTATCTGTGGAATGAGGGCTCACAACTGAGGGGGACAAGGGGTGTGTCTGCCTTCACAAAGGCTTGAGCTCACCAGCTCGGGGCTAGGAGACGCTGGGCTGGACTGTGGACAGCTGACTTCAGCTAGTCCAGCTGAGTGAGGTGATGCACCTTCCTGTCTGTCCCCTCTCCCCTCCACCTTCCTGTGCCCCAACTCACTGGGCCACGCAGTGGGCCGCAACCACCACCCACTGTAACGTGATGATCGATCCTGCACAGACGTGTGTATCATTGGCCTGCACGCTGACCACCCAGGGCCACCGCAGAGTCATGGCCGTCGGGTCCGATGAGGAGTTCCTAATAGAGGAGCCGCAGGCTGGAAAGGAAGCAAGAGGTTGGGGAAGAAAAGGTCCATCGAGCGCCCCCACCTTCTCTCGCCCTGGCCCTGACCTCCCATCTCAATAGCCACACCCAGCCAGTCACCGGCTTTCTCTTTCCACAGGAAACAATGGTGCCCATGGGCAGCTTGAGTAGGGGGACCTCAGCAGACCCAGCCCTGCCCACGTCTCCTTCCTGGTCCCAAATTCTGGTGCACAGCAACCCCAGGTCACCGGCTCCAAGCACTCTCTGTCCTTCTGTTCCAGCCAGTCACCCGTCTCTCGCCAGACCCTTCCCCTGTGTCCACTTGGCTCTGCCCTTACCACCCTCTCCTTTCTCAGTGGCCAGATGCCCTCTTCTACCCCTGCGGCCCGCTCATGCTTTTCTGCCAACTCCCTCCTGTGACTCAGAGAAAAGTCAATGACATAATAGGAAAATAGTGGAGGGGAAGTAGGCTAGTGGGTTAGGAATTGTGCTGCCACCCCAAAGGCAGGCAGTTCAAATCTACCAGCTGTTCCAAAGGAGAAAGACGGGCAGTCACTTCTCATGGTGTTTAGCCCATTGGAGGGTCAGCTATGAGTTGGTTCTGACTTGATAGAACATAACAACAACAATAATAACAACTCAAGAAGGAAACTCCAGGGGTGAAAGGACCTGGAATCCACTCAGATCCACTGTTCCCAAGAAAGTGTAGACTCAAGTCACATTGAGGTTCCGGCCCACACTGGCCACTCACCCACTCACAGCCTGGACTCGTCATACAGGCCACTTAGGACTGTTCTTTAGGGCTTCAGAGGTTATAAGTCTGCAGAAGGAAACTACAGAGCAGCGGGGGGACTCAAACCTTTGACCTTCTGATTATCAGCTAAAACCACCAGGATTCTGTCCACCCAACTCAAGCTGGCGATGCATGTCTGTGATCTCATGTCAATCCAGAATGCTTACCCCCCACCCCCCACCCCTGGCAGGGTGCAGCCACCTTGGGAAATAGTTTTAAAGCCGTAACTGCCCACACTCAGTACTCCAGCAATTCCACTCTTGGGTTTTCAGATTAGTGGGTAGCGAAATCAGCACAAGGCACTTTGGTCCACTTTTGTGAAGGACAGCACAGGCGAGGCAGCGTGAGCATGTGAAGAAGAGTGCAAGTCCTGTTTTGGGAGGCTTTCTGTGGAGGTAAATCGTGAGCACTTGGCTGGTAGCCGGAAGGTTGGCAGTTCAAACCCATCAAGAGACACGTAGGAAGTCTGGCCTGATCTGCTTCGGAGAGGTCACAGCCTTGGCCTTCCTAATGGAGCAGAACTACTCTGCTCACAGGGTGTGACTGTGAGTCAGAATCCAGTGTAGACAGCTGTTGTTGTTGTTTGTTATTGTTTAGCTGCTTGGAGTTAGTGACACTATGAATAGATCCGAACTCTGTTCTATTCTCTGCCATCCCCCAGTCTGACTTACTTGAGCCCACTATATCAAACCATCTCATTGGGGTCTTCTCTTTCACTGACCCTCCTCCTTTCCAAACATATTGTCCTTGCCCAAGGAATAGGCCCTCCTGATAACATGCTGAGAGCTGGACAATCAAATAAGCATGTTGTTGTTGTTGTTATGTGCCGTCGAGTCGTTTGCGACTCATAGAGACCCTATGCACAACAGTCCTAAACCCTGCTCTGTCCTGTGCCAATCGCACTGCCTCGAGACACCCATCCTGCTTACCCCAGTCACTGAATCAATCCACCTCATAGAGGGTCTTCCCCTCCTGCGCCGTCCCTCCACCCTCCCAAGCATGATGTTCCTCTCCAAGGACCTGTCCCTCCTTACAACATGCCCAGAGTATGTCAGACGAAGCCCCAGAATCCTTGCCTCCAAGGAGGAGCCTCGTTTAACCCTCTCCAGGATGAAGAAGAAAAAAGGATGCCTTTGAACTGTGGTGTCGGACAATACCGAATATTCCATAGACTGTCAAAAGAACAAACAGATATGTCTTCTAGAAGGTGCTTCTTGGACTCGAGGATGGTGAAGCTTCATCTCGCATACTTTTGGCACGCTGCAAGGAAAGGCTACTCCTTGGAGAAGATCATCGTGCTTGGAAAGGTGGGGGGATGACAAAGGAAAGGAGGATCCTCAACCAGGTGGATTGGCACAGTGACTGCAGCAGCGGGCTCGAGTGTGCTAGATTGTGAGGTTGGCACAGGATAGGACAGAGTTCAGATCTGCTGTTCACAGGGTCGCTGTGAGTGATGCTTGACTTGACGGCCTCTAACAACAGCATGCTCAAAGTATGTGAGATGAAGCTTCACCGTTCTTGCCTCCAAGAAGCATTCGAGCTGCATTTTCTATTTTGAGGGTGTTGATTGTAGTTCCAAGTAAGATGAAATAGATAACAATCTCAATCGTTTCTCCACCACCTATCACGATGTTGCATATTGTCCCAGTGGTGGGGAATTTTGTCTTCATGATGTGAAGACACAAGATTATCCATACTGAAGATGGCAGTCCTTGACCTTCTGCAGCAAACACCTCATTTCCTCCTCAGTATCAGCAAGTGAGGTTGTGTCATCCGCATAATGTAGGTTGTTGAGGAGTCTTCCTCTAATCCTGATGCCACATTCCTCCTCATAAAGTCCAGCCTCCCAAATGATCTGTTCTGCATATAGACTGAAAAGGTATGGAGATAGGATGCATCTCTGATACATACCTTTTCTGTTTTCTTTCCTAAACCATAGTGTTTCCCTATTCTGACTACTGCTTCCTGGTGCAAGTATAGTTTTCATATGAGCACAATTAAGTGTTATGGGATTCTCATTGTTCTCAAGACTTGCCACAATTTGTCGTAATTCACACAGTCAAATATCTTTGCATATGCGGATGACACAACCCTGCTTACTGAAACTGAAGAGGACCTGAAGCGCCTGCTGCAGAGTGTCAAGGATTGCAGCCTCCAATATGGATTGAGGCTCAATGTCAAGAAGACAAAGATTCTCACCACTGGACCAATTGGCAGCATCAGGATGGATGGTGAAGAGATTGAGATTGTACACAGCTTTAGTTTGCTTGGCTCCATAGTCAATAGTCTTGGCACCGGCAGCCAGGAAATTAAAAGGCGCATTGCCATGGGAAAGTCTGCTGTTAGGGACCTCTCCAAAGTACTGAAGAGCAATGGTGTCTCTCTGGAGACTAAGTTGCGTCTGATACAGGCCATGGTCTTCGCAATCACTTGTTATGCATCAGAGAGTTGGACAATGACCAAGGAGGATAGAAGGAGAATTGATGCCTTTGAGCTGCGGTGCTGGAGAAGAGTATTGAGAATACCATGGACTGCTAGGAAAACAGATTTGTCCTGGAAAGGGTTAAACCAGGTGGCTCCTTGGAGGCAAGGATTCTGAGGCTCCGTCTAACATACTTTGGACATGTTGTGAGGAGAGACAAGTCCTTGGAGAAGGACATCATGCTTGGGAGGGTGGAGGGACAGCGCAGGAGAGGAAGGCCCTCTATGAGGTGGATTGATTCAGTGACTGGGATAATTGGGATGGGTCTGTCAGAGACAGTGTGATTGACACAGGACAGAGCGGAGTTTAGGGCTGTTGTACATAGGGTCGCTATGAGTTGCAAGCGACTTGACGGCACATAACAACAAAAACAAGTCTATGAAACACAGTCTGGTACTCTCTGCTGCTTTCGGCCAAGATCCGTCGAACATTGGTTCTGTTGTCCCTAGTGCCACAGCCTCTTCTAAGCTCAGCCTGCACATCTGGCAGTTATTTCTCTGCTGATGCGTGTTTTTAGCGAATCTTCAGCAGAATCTTGATTGCACAGGCTATTAGTGACATTGTTCAACAATTTCTTCACTGTCAGGTCATCTTGGCACCAGTAGTCAGGAAATCAAAGGACAAACTGCACTGAGAAAAGTCTGCGCTCAGGAACCTCCCTAGGGGACTGAAGAGCAAAGATCTCAGTCTGGAGACTAAGGTGCACCTGATACAGACCATGGTCTTTGCAATTACTTGCTATGCCTCAGAGAGCTGGACAATAACTAAGGATTATAGAAGAGAGATCGATGCCTTTGAGTTGTGGTGTTGGAGAAGAGTGTTGACCATAACGTGGACTGCCAGGAGAACAAACAGGTGCATCCCGGAGAGGGTAACACCAAGCTGCTGTCTGGAAGCAAGGATTTTGAACCTCTTTCTCACATACTTTGAACACGTGGCCACGAGGGAGGGACCTGTCCTTGGAGAAGGACACCGTGCTTGGGAGGGCGGAGGGACAGCACAGGCGAGGAAGGACCTCTGATGAGATGGAGAAATGCTGTTAGGTCTGTTGGAGACGATGAGGCTGGTCAGGATAGGGCAGGGTTCAGGGCTCATGCAAGAGTGGCTATGAGCCGCAGGTGACTCGATGGCACGTAACAACCAAAAAGTAAAGATAGATTTGTTAGAAAGTTATATCCCAAAGGGAAGGTCCACCCTCCAGGAAAGGAAACAAGGGGACGAGGCCAGGAGGGTCTCTTCGGTGCCTGTGCCTTCTGTCCCAGGGGTCCAAGTCCCTGCCCCCGCCCCATCTCGTCCCAGGCACTCACAGGAGTATAACTTCAGCTCAGTGCTCTTGGGGGCTGCTGAGGTCACCCCGGGGGCTGCTGAGGTCACCCCGGGGGCTGCTGGGGTCACGCCGGGGGCTGCTGAGGTCACCCCGGGGGCTGCTGAGGTCACCCCGGGGGCTGCTGGGGTCACGCCGGGGGCTGCTGGGGTCACCCCGGGGGCTGCTGGGGTCACTCCGGGGGCTGCTGGGGTCACCCCGGGGGCTGCTGGGGTCACCCCGGCGGCATCTCTCCGCCCGACAAGATGAAGCCTCGAGGAGTCAGGGTCTGGGGCAGGGTCGGCCCCCGAGGGTCCCCCTGGAAGGACACAGAGGAGTCAGAGGGGGGCGGGGGGAGGCTCGAGGGGCAGGGGCGGGGGAGGAGGCGCGGCTCACCCGCGAACAGCAGCAGCAGCAAGGCCGCTGCACGGACGAGGGAGCGGAGAGGTGGCCGGAGGCCTCGGGCACGCAGCGCGGAGGCCAGGGCCCTGCGCCTGAGCTCCATGCGGACAGACGACAACAAAGCGGCTGCCCCGCGGCGCCCTCCGACTCGGCGCCCGGCTCACGACAGCGCCCCCCAGAGGTCGTCAGGGGCAGAGCTCCCGCCGCCTCGTCCTGCCAGGGCGCCCCCAAGTGGCTGCCCCTGGTGGTGGCAGGGGAGCGTGGAGGCGAGGGGGGCCCCCTGGTGAGCAGCCCTGCTTACATCTCCCAGCCTGATGTCTCCCTGTCTCCACCTTGGCCCTTCCTTCTCCCTCCTCTTGGCCAAGCAGATTTCTAGAGTTTTCATTAGCCATTTCCTCCACCCCCCTCAGCAGTCAACTGCTCTGGACGGATTCGTGCTGTCGCCCCCTCCTATGATGGGATTGCGTCCTGAATCCACAGGTGACCCCACCTTCTTCCCATCCTGGTAACGACAATGGGGCTTTGACAAAGGACATTGAAAGTAAGCACATGAAAATATTTAAAATCATAATAATTTGTAAAAGCAGCCAGGAAATCAAAAGACGATTTGCACTGGGAAAATCTGCTGTCAGGAACCTTGCCAGAGTACTGAAGAGCAATGACGTCAGTCTAGAGACTAAGGTGTGCCTGATGCAGACCATGGTCCTCGCAATTACTTGCTCTGCGTCAATGACTAAGGGTGACAGAAGAATTGTTGATGTTTTTGAGTTGTGGTGCTGCAAGACGAGGATTGAATATACATCCATTCCATAGACTGCTAAGAGAACAAACAAGTTCAACCTGGAGAGGATGAAACCAGGCTGCTCCTTGGAGGTAAGGATTTTGAAGCTCCATCTGACATACTTTGGGCATTTGCAAGGAGGGATCAGTCCTTGGAGAGGGACATTATGCTTGGGAGGGTGGAGGGACAGTGCAAGGGAGGAAGACCCTGGATGAGATAGATTGACTCAGTGACTAGAGTAATGAGGGTAGGTGTGTCAGAAACGATGAAATTGGCTCAGGATAGAGCAGGGTTCAGAGCCGATGTACATAGGGGTCATTGTGAGTTACAAGCAACTTGACAGCACATAACAACAACAACAAGACTGCAGAATTTTTAACAACTCTCCATCCTCTCCTCATCCTTCACAGGCTATCTGCTTAGGAAAGATGGCACAAGGGGAAACGTTCCAGTCACAGAGTGTGATGGTGACCATTGTGAACTGTGACAAGTCTGGGAGCAGAAGGCCCCCTTTATAGCTTAGAATCTGGACAACATCTCACTAGGACATATATCCGGTAGTGGAATTGCCTGATCATATAGTATTTCTATTTCCAGCCTTTCCAGGGGGTGCTGTGCCAGTTTTCCACAGCGGTTTTTACTTTACCAGCAGTGTGTGAATTCTAACCTCTCTGTCACACTTTCAATAGCACTTGGTTTTTCCTCTTTTTGTTTGTTCATTTTAACCTTACTGTTACAGTCCTACTCCAGTGGTCCAGAGGTAAGAACCTGTGCTGCAATCCCAAAGGTACATGGTTTAAATCCACCAGCTCCTCTGAGGGAGAAGGCTGGATAATCTCTTCCCTGTGATTTACTGCCTCTGAAAACCCACTGGAGGGTCAGTTACTACTTGTCAACAAAGAGCAGCATGACTACCAAGGGAGCTCTGGTGGCTCAGCAGGAAGGAGGAATGCTGCCGACTCAAACGCATGCGCTCTGCATCCACCAGCTGCTCCAAGGGAGGAAGATGGGAAATCTCCTCTTGTACAGTTTACAGCCTCTGAAAACCTGCTGGAGGGTCAGCAGTGAATTGGTCCTGACTCCATGCTACACAGTAACGATGGCTGTGAGGGCGTTCTGGTCTCGTCAACAGGGAGTTTACACTGCTAACCCAAAAGCCAAGGCTCTGGCAGTTCTAGCCTACTTTTGGCTCTTCAAGCGAAACATGGACTGTTTCCTCCCATCCAATTTATAGCCTCAGAAACTCAAAAGAGTGTTAGCTTTGAGTCATTCCCTCAGTGAACTCAGCAATAAATCACAGCCTCAGAAACCCAAAAGAGTGTTAGCTTTGAGTCGTTCCATCAGTGAACTCAGCAATTACTCTAAGTTTTGAACGATTCATGATCGAGATGTATTTGTTGACCTCCTATCTGTCATTGGTGAAGTGTCTGCTCACATCCTTTGCTTATTTTTAAATTGCATTATTTCTCTTTTTTATGTTAAGATATAGAAGTCGTCTATCATTTTATAGGTTAATCCATCATTGGATAGATTTTTAAGCCAAACTTTTCTTTCCAGTCTGTAGGTTCTTCCCCCCCCCCCCTTGTACTTTTGGAAAAGGTTTTTGGACATAACGGGAACATTTCAATGGTTCACCGATGCATTCAAACAATATATTTTAAAAGTGGTAAGAGGAATTCCTGCAGGAGTCATTGGTTCAAAGTTGTTGGAAAATTCCAGCCTGATCAAAGATGAAAGTCAAGTCAGCTTAGGACACACTAGCTTTTGCAAAGGCCTGGTCTTAGAAGCAGGAGCAATGGGGTCATAGTATGTTGTGAGAGGTCAGCGGACTTACAGCCACAGAACCTGATGGAGGGTCACCATGGGTCAGAGTCAAGCTGAGGACAGTGGACCTGGTTTGTTTTGGGTTTTATTTTGTTTTTTTTCTGTAAAGGGGGGTATCCTAGTGGCACAATGGTGAAGTGCTATATTGTTAGCCAAAGGTCAGGAGTTCAAGGCTACCAGCTGTTCAGCTGGAGAAAACTGTGGCTGTCTGCGCCTGTAAAGACTACAGCCTTGGAAAGCCCATGGGCCTGTTCTACTCTGTCCTCTACGGTCACTATGAGTTGGAATCCATTCAGTGGCAAGGAAGGAGCCCCTTGCTGATGCAAATAATTAAAGGCTCACTACTAGCTTTGTTGATGTTGTTATATAACATTGAATCAGAAGGCATAGCTGACCCTCCAGCGCATTTTCAGAGGCAGTAAATTGCACAGAAGGAGAATGTCCATCCTTCTTCCTCGGAGCAGCTGGTGGATTCGAACTGTGTTCCTCTACATTGTCAGCATAATTCCTTACCACTAAGTCACCAAAGGCACCTCAGAAGGGTTGCCAATCTGCTTCTAAAAGGTCGCTGACTTGAAAGCCTTGTGGAGAGCAACTGGTTTGGTTTCTGAGTTTGGTATTTTTGTTTGGGTTTGGTTTGTTTTTTTTGTATTTTGTTTTGTTGGGAAGGGGGTAGCTCTTGAGAGAGGCCCTCGGGCTGGCCATACAGTGCCCGAGGCTCTGAAAAGGCACTGAATTGCACCATTGTCCTACCAGCACCGAGAAGGCCACCAAATTTAAAGAGCCCAGGGTCCATGAACACCCATGCTGGAGGCAGAGCCCGGTCTCCCCTCAGTTAGACTAGTCCAGACCAGGCCACCCCCTCTCTCTGAGCCAGTGGTCACCAAGGTTCAGGGTGCAGTGACTCACAATTCATGTGAGCAAGTCTCGCCCCTACAGCCCAACAGCATCCCCACCCCGACCCTGGCTAGGACAGGAGGCAGGGAAGGAGGGACAAGTCTCAGTCAGGTTCTGTAGGCCTTTCAGGGGTGCAGACGAGAATGCGGGTCTGCCTTCTGGCCACTGTGAGTTTTTTTGTGCTGAGAACAACACTCATAGAAGGGCCGGGGGCTTGGAGGGGGGTGCAGTGGGCAGAATGTGTCACTTATTCATGGGAGGGCCACAGGGACCTTGGGGGTCGGTGGCCTGCTGGGATAGCAAGAAGACCCTGGTGATCACAGAGCTCAACCTCCGTTCCTTTTTCCGGAAGTGGAATTGTCACCCAAGAAGGGGTCAGCCTCCTGGGGACACACATGAGTACCTGGCAGCAGGCAGCCAGGCCTTTCAGTGAAACATATGGGGGGTGTGTGTGTGTGTGTGTGTGTGTGTGGTGTTTGTGTGTTTGTGTATATGTGGTGGTGAAGGGGTAATGCCAAAAGTCAAGAAGAAAGATGATTTCGGTCACATCTTCATTGAACAACAAATTAAAAAGTGGCTCTGGGTCCTGCCGCCACGGACACCCCACTCTGATATCCTGTGCCTCCTCGGTCACCTTTTCCATCATTTCTCCTGAGGAGATAACAGAAGGGCGGGAGAAGCAGCCTGCAGGAGTGACTGCTCAGAGCCCACTGCTCACAGGAGCCACAGGAAACTCAAAGACACCAGCAGAATGTAGCTGGTGCAGAAAAGTGGTCTCAGGAAGGCAGGGTGGGCCTGGCTGATGAAATTCACATCAGACACCTGGCTTTTGATCCACGAGGTGAAGTAGGAGGTGCTGGTGTAAATGCTTGGGAACTGGAACTGGCCACAGGTGAAAGACCAGCTCACCAAGCCCATCTGGATCCAGGTGCTGTTCAGGTAGCAGACGAGGGGGCTGCCGGAGTTAGTCTGCGGAGAGAGGGAGGAGAGGAGGCCTAAGACGCAGCAGGAGGGCTCCCTGCTGGCCCGAGATTAACTGGTATCTTCTCAGGCCACATCCTCAGCCTGCACTCAGGCCCCTGTTGCTTCTGTTGAGGACGAGGGTGAATCCACAGTGACTCAACTCTGTGGCCAGTACACTCTTCTCTGGATCCCCAGCTGGGGACCACAGTGGCCTCTGCTT